ATATAGACCCCGCATCCAATAACAGCCGAAACAATGCCAGTAGATATAACCCGAGAATTCCTTTGACCAATAGTACATCATGATATACCTCTATAATCTCTTGAGTTCAGAGGACTGCCAGCGCAGCAGCCACCGAGGCATCAGAACAACTTTTTGTTTCTTTACTTTGTCGGTCATAGGTTCTTTTGCACCAGGACGCAGATGCGAAGCAGAGAAGCTTTGTCAAGCCAATGTTCGACATTGGCCCAGCAGGCACGGGACATTTTTGAGGATTGCCGGTGTGAAGCGCGTGGTTGAAGTGGAAAGTAGCCTGCCATCAGGCCACGTAGTCCGAGCAGACTGTAGAACAGCTTGAGCAAACATCTTCGGGCTTTTTTTGTTGTTTCCCCGATCCAAAGTTTTGCACCTTTCTTTTTCCCAAAAGCATCTCCGATGCTTGGGTTCTCGTTTAGTTGCACTCGCCGCGGGGGAGCGAGACTGAGTGGTCGACGGAGATGTGTTGGACGGAAGGAAGGAAGGAAGGGAAGGAAGGGAAGGAAGGGAAGGAAGGGAAGGAAGGGAAGGAAGGGAAGGAAGGGAAGGAAGGGAAGGAAGGGAAGGAAGGAAAGGAAGGAAAGGAAGGAAAGGAAGGAAAGGAAGGAAAGGAAGGAAAGGAAGGAAAGGAAGGAAAGGAAGGAAAGGAAGGAAAGGAAGGAAAGGAAGGAAAGGAAGGAAAGGAAGGAAAGGAAGGAAGGAAGGGAAGGAAGGAAAGGAAGGAAAGGAAGGAAAGGAAGGAAAGGAAGGGAAGGAAGGGAAGGAAGGGAAGGAAGGGAAGGAAGGATGACTTGCGTGTGCAAAAGTTTTCCTATTTACCTCAACCTCTTCTGGTACCCCTCAGCGTAGGCACATCCTGTTTCACCCAGCACACGTGCGATTCCAATCCATGTACATTGCGTTCTAGACTCATGACAGAAGAAAGTCCATTTGCAATGGCTGTTTGCATCTGCCTACCGTGACACTGTTGTCATGGCAATGTTTTCTGCTCAGTAAGAAGCAATTCGGTGCTCTACGCACAGATACGCACCTGAGCTCCATGCTCCAACTGGAATACTTTACGAGACCACTCGATGTTCTTCACAGGTCATGGACACTGCTCATGTTAGACAAGAAAACAATAGCAGTATGTCCCTTCGCAGCGACACTTATCCCTGAGCCACACGCCTTTTAATAGTTCCCACGAAACAAGGACGGTTTCGTCTCCTGCAATTCTTGATGTTGCTTTTGCTTCAGACATCCTCACGCACTTAGCCGCATGAAGGTTACATCCCTAAAGACTAAAGACCTATCCCTACACCCAAAGTGCTTCAACCGAGCGTCCATCGGTTGAGGCACCTTGGCCCCTCTAATTCACTTAGCTGGCCAACAAACTGACTAACATTATCTCGCTTGTGGTTCTTATTACTGACTATGGCTCAGGGTGGGTGGAATTTAGATATTGAGACAAGATGCATGCAAAAAGTTGTTGATGCCGGGCAAGTTCGGATATTGCAACAACAAAAACGTAAGAAGTGGTGGAGAGGCCAATGGGGGAAGTCTACGTATGAAACGAAATGGATGCAGGAAATTGAGAGGCACCTAGGGGGAAGGGAAAATTCGATATTGAAACAGGATGAGCGCAAAAAAACGTTGAGAGATATGCCCCCACCTACCTTTCGTCCCCCCCTCTCAAGTATTACAATGTTTGTGATTTGTCGGCGACACCACGCGCATTTTATTTTGTCATCTGATTTGATTTTGTTTGGTTTGCGCGTGTGCTAGCAATACCTCAGCATGTCCAGGTTTTTTGGGGGAATCGAAGCCTAACACAGAAATCAAGGGAATTGGTTTTGTAAAACAGCCTGGTTGCAAACCTGGAACATTGAATCCCAGCAACCAGGTTCCACGGTTCCAAGGTTCAAATTTTTTGTTTCTTTTTGGTTTTGGCCTTGGCAAACGACGCACCGTTATTCGACCCAGAGAATTCAACCCAGTCATTGTTTCAAGGTCTTTTCCTTTGAGTTTAAGCCACAAAATCCAAACATACCTGAGCATTCTGAGCATTCTGAGCATTCTGAGCATTCTGAGCATTCTGAGCATACCAGCTGCCACGTTTGCCACGTTTCCTTCCATCCCATGCCTTTCAACCCCGTTGCTTGGTGCGGATTTTGAGATATGTATTTTTGTTACATTTTGTTGGATGCAGTGGATATTGGTTTGTCCCAGGAGCTGCAGATGGATGTGACCAGCAAAAACCTCAAAGGACATATTTGTTTGATTTCTGGGTAGTGGCGCGGCAATTTGGCAATTTCGTTTTCGATGTTTTTGTGCTAAATGAGGCTAAATTAATGTTGTTTTGCATTGATTCCCACAGCGGCAAGGTTTACAACCTTAGCATTCCATGAAATTGCATGATTTTGTTCTATGCTAGCCATGGGCCATTACATTGTAATGTAAGGCAATTAACAGATTTCTCCGGCGCTGTCATCCAATGAATGATACTCTCGGCAAACTGAAAACTCATGGCCGAAGGCGAACAGTTGAACATGTTTTCCTGCGGTTTGAACTGGAACGATGCTATTGCAGTGACGATGAACCGGACCCTCTGAGCAAGCATTTGGACCAAGATAGATGACGATTCAGACGATTCACAAACACAATTGTCACAATTGGCTTATTGGGCCCATTGTGTCAAGGGCCGTTGTGGATGATCAGGTTCGAAGATGTTAGTTTTCCTTTGGAGGCCGACTGAAAATCAGTTGCTATTGATTCTGCAATTGACTCAGTTGAATTTGTCTGATGCTGTTTACGTCAAAAATTTACGTTGACGTTTGTATCATTTTGTATCCCATGTTTTGCTGTTGTCTACCCTTTTGGAGCCGCTGCAGGGTTGGCCATCCGCTGTCCGTGCAGAAGGTGGACAAAGTTTGTATGGTGCACCTTCTCAGTCTGAAGAGAAACTCTGCGCGCGAAAATGTCAATTTTCTTGATTTTTTTTCAGAGATTTTCTCAGACGTTCCTGGATTTGGCAGAGGTACTGGCTGGGCGCAGCGGTTGCTGAGGCCTGGGAACTACCTGTGCGCAGCCAGCGAGCCACTTTGAAAGTATGAATTTGGAAATTGGGTTTGGATTTGGAAATTGTTTGCAGGACGATTTGCTGACAAAGTGGGATGTTATTTTGACCAGAAAACAGAGAAACATGTCCCTCCTTGCTCGGTAAAACACTGGCGCAGGGAGCACCAGTTCCCTGACAATTGTGAGGGCAAGTCCTTTGTGGAGCACGGCATGTCCGGCTCCTCGAAATTTTGAAGCGGTTTTGCAACTTTCGACGTTTGCCAAATGACACTCACTGACTACATTTCCATCCAACTAGACCTTCGACTTGCACGGGTGAGCTCAAAGACCTTGAACAAAATTAAAGATTTCTTTAAAGATTTCTTATGATTCAATGCTCAGGAGCTGGAAAAAACATACTGTTGGATGTGTCCAATACTTGCCGTACGCATTGAGTTTGCACAGGTTCCGTTCCGGCATGGGCTCCAACATGCACATTGCAGCAGCGCCATCCTCAGGGCTTGGCGATGCACCATACATGCAGCATCTATCAGCATCTAGTCATGAAATGTCATGAATGAAGCGGCATTGCAACCGCAACCTGGATGGCCAAGGGGCCAAGTTGTTTGCAATTCGCACTCCATCACTTCCATCACGTTGAATCTGAGAATCATTGCCTGATTTGCGCAGCCTGCTTTAGGCAGTCTTGGCGTTTGCATTGAACGAAGGGATGATTTACCTCTGGCCCGAGGAGCACCGATTTGCATTGAAAGCCTCGGATGGGGTGACCAATTGGGTGACCACTTATGAAAGAGCCCATTTGGCGGCGATGAGCAAAAAGTTTGAGCATTAGGCCATGTTGAGAGTGGCTATCAGGACGCTTCCGGGGTAACCAATTCGCTCCTTTTTTTTTTTTTTCTCGTTATTTACTTGTATAATTTCTACATATATTTTCCATATATTGTCGTGTCAGGACGACATCCACAACCCATGGACACTTGGCTCCACGAAGAACTCCGTTGCAAAGTGTCCTGGGCGGCCATCGCGAAACTACGAGTACCTTGGACATCGGACGTCTGACCTTGTCGGCCTGGCGGTCGAAGTTGTGTGCAACGGGTCGATGGTTTGACAAGTTTGACAACGGTTTGACAACGGTTTGACAAGTGCTGTGAGTGCCCACATGTTGTGTATCTCTCTGATTTTTTTTTATCTCTTCTGATCTCCATTCATTCATCTCTGACCTTCGCCATGCATTGTGGGTGTTTTGCTCTAGATGCTTCCACTCTGAAATGAGAAACATTCCATGCACCTCAAAAACACATCATGTACGACGTGGAACCTTGGTTGTTTCTGCAGAAGGTTCCATAGGGTTCCCCAATTTTTGCCTATTCTATCTCTGTTTTCGTAATTTTCTTTCAGGGTTTGCTCCGATTCCCTATTTTTTCCCCAAATTCTTCCAAATTCCCTGAGGTTCCCAAGGTTCCGTGAGTTTGTCTATTTCAGTGAAATGCAGTGTGTTGATGTGGCCCGTGTGGCAGGTGCTACTTAAAGCCAGTGAGTTCATGCAAGCCAAACGGAGAAGGATCGAGGCACAAGCCACCAAAGCGGATGCAACACACAGCATAGCGAAAAATCTCGCTACACTTGCCTTTACCTTCTGGAGACTGATTTATCGTATGGCCAGATATGACCAGTATATAAATATATAGGTATAGAATATAGATATAGATAAATAGATATAGATATAGATGTAGATGCAGATATAGATATGGATATTTAGATACAGATATGTGTACATGCATCAATTTGCATTTCATTTTCCGGGAATTTGTCCCTGCAAAGCTCCTTGGCCTTCAGATCAGATCGGAGAATGCCATGGAATGCCATAGAATGCCGACGGATTTCATGTCACGTCCTACAAGTTTGTAGATTCTGTGGAGCAATGACGGAGCTCAATCGATTCAATGAGTATGCATCAGCCGCCATCAGCCCTTCAAGATCACAACATTCACAACGCAGGTTCACTGGCTTGAAAACAGAACGGGGTCGACAGAAGATCAAAAGCCCTGCCTTCAGCGATGGGACTGTGTTTGGGACAGACTCAGGGGATAGACTCAGTCGACCGGACAAGAAAAATCCCAAAGATTCTAAGATGAGACGAAAACTGATGAAAACTGATGAAAATGAATGAAGAAAATGAAGAAAATGAAGAGAAAGAGATGGTCTTTGCAAGGCAAATCAATGTAACTGTTGGGCTCCAGAAGCTCCATGCGAGCAGAGCACGCCTTGCACTTTATCGCTGCGTTTTCGTGTTTTAGGCCTTGTTTTAGCTGCAAGAGCACGATGAACACGCAAATGACAAGCGTGACCTTAGTGCTGTCTGAGCAAGTTGCCAAGGTACTGAGTTGGTCCCGAAAGTCTTCAAGGCGCTCTTGAAGTGCTCAGGGCGTCGCGGTTGCAGAGCACGCGAAGTCACGGCATGTCACATATGACAGCCTGTCGCATGTGCGGCATGTGCGGCATTGTGTCACATATGTCACGTTTGATCAGGGTCTTTTTGGACAACCGTAGCACAGATTTGTGTATCATCTGTGTATCATCTGTGTATCATCTGTGTATCATCTATGTCATCCGTGTGCCAAGGTATCCTTCCTTGTACTGGGTCAAGTGGTGGCGAGCTCAAGCAACTGCTTTTTTACTTCGACCAAACAAGGCAGGAACAACCCAGGGGTCACTGCGAGTCAAGCCAAGCCGTCGAACAGTTTTTAACTCTCTACTTGGACATCTTGGACATCTTTACAGCTTTGGACTTTACTCCCATTTTCGGATGCTGAGCCGTCAAACAAATTTGCAGTCGCACCCATCGAACATGAGAGGCAAGGTGTGGTAAGGTCTAGCAGGGTCTAGCTATGCACAGGAAACAGCCCTGGAGCTCCAGCGTTTTCGAGAAGAGCATTTGGTGGGCCACATGCAGGTGCAACGTGCAGAGATGTGCCGAGATGTGCAGTCGACGTGCACGTTGTGTGTGGGGTGAGTGGCCGGAAAATTGGGCTCCAAAATCAAAACATCGGCCGCATGAGTCGATGACGGTACTGTGATTTCTTGTGAAGCTCAGCTGGTATCTTTCAAAGTGCAGCCATTGAAGAGGCTGGTGTGCTTGGATGCTACGTGCGCCATGGAGACAAATACTACGAGGCCATCTTGGACAGCTGGGAATAAAAGCACACGTGAAACATTCACATAGCCACATAATGCCACATAATGCCACATAATGCCACATATGCCCTGTATCTCATCCATTCTCATCCTGTCTTTGGTCTACATTTCCAAAAAAGATGCATCGCCTGTTTTTGGGAAGGCCACAGAGTATCCTTTGAAAGATTACTTGCGGATTTTCTCCTGGATTCTGGACGACAAGGTGCGATCTGAGAGGGAAGACCCGGGAAGACCCGGGAAGATTTGGGAAGGGACAAGATGTTCCGAGACGGGGAGCTTTGGCAAAGGACGAGCCAAAACAGCAGAGTTGCATCGAGGAAAAATCGGGAAGGCGCTTCCAAATGCCGTTCTCAAAGAATCAGGGCACAAATTTTGAGGGCAGGGTGTTGTTCAGCTTGTCTCCGGGCTTGTCTCCGGGCTTGTCTCCGGGCTTGTCTCCCTGTCTCCCAGCTTGTTCTCGCCTCTCGCAGGTCTCAATATTGAAATATATTTAATAATATTTGCTTGTGTTGCCACAGGTCTGCTGGTAGCGTAAGGTCTTTGCCATCCCAGCCTAGGATCGGCCAGCTTCCTTATGTTTTTGGATGTTTTTGGAATGCTTTCACTTTCGTCGATGTGATCGAAAGAGACATGATGCCAGCTTTTGCCTGGTGTTACAGCCGGATGTGGATCATGTGGATCATGTGGATCATGTGGATCATGTGGATCACATCTTGTCGTCACGGCGTTGAAGGTGATCACGTCTTGTCCGCGCTCCGCGGAATTTCTGGAGCCCTTCAAAGCTCAGCTGCCAAATCTCCAGAGTACACACAGGACGGACTCGAAGAACTCGAGCAGCTCGAGCAGTTTCTTCTGTTTGATTTCTGTTTCATCTTTGATATCTTGATGACTGTTTCGGTTGTTTCGTTTCAACTTTCGTTTCGTTTTAGTTCGTCAAAGCGAGTTCAATGTGTTCAATGTTGTGTTCATTGACACTGATGTACTTTCTTTCCGGTCTTTCCGACCCGAAGCTCGCCATGTCAAGCTCCTTAACAAAGAATGTGACAAAGAATGTGACAAAGAATGTGACATTCTTTCACATTTGTTCAACATTTGTTTATATTTGTTCACTGATCCGCTTGTCTCAATCTGTCTAGGATATACCTTGGCTCTGATGATGCAGCTGTCTTGGAGGATCACCGGAACCACGAACATTTCTAGGAGGATCTTGTCAAGTTGACATGGTTTGACATGGTTTGACATGGTTTGACATGGTTTGACATGGCTTGACTTGTGCAGTCAAGGCTTCAGTCAAGGCTTCTGGCCGGGTGTTCGTGACTCCTGTGAGGAGGCCAAGTCAAGTTTTGACATGATCTACGTGAACGTGTCTAGACTGTCCAAGAGGTGCTTAGCTGCTTTGATTGGGCCGGAGGTTGCATCTTAACATGATCATATGAATCATATGTGCCATAGTGAAGACTTGGGTAAATTGCCCATGTTGAGGCAAGGGATTTAGCCCACAAGGATTTGGGAGGACCATGGACCTGTGACCAGAAGGGTTCAACTTTAGATTCCATGAGATTTTATGAGATTCCTATGGGTTCGAATCTGAGGACTTTCGATCTTTCACCGAGTCTTTGCAATTCTTGCAGTGCGCAGGATGTCTCTGATGAAGGTGTCCAAGAAGTTGGGGGCCAAACAGGTTGTTATGGAGTCTTTGCTTGACCGACGTGTTTCGACGTGTTTATTGTGTTTATTGTGTTTGCGAGGGGGAGGCAGTAAGGATCATGTTGGCAATCGTCACTTGTCGGACATAGAACCACACGACGGAGACTTGACGATAGGCAGTGAACGGTTGTTGTCATATCAAACAAAACGCCAGAACGAGCAGCCAGCAATGTCCAGGATCTATGCTATATATATATGTGCTATGGCTATGACCTTCATGTTGGGCTGCTGTTGCCTCATTCTTTACAGTCATCCTCGTTATCCTCGTTGAGGAGTTGTTCTGTGGGTGTTCCTCCGTCGTAGTGTCGTAGTGCCAGGCTGAACCTGGAACTCTTGATGGAATCTGACGCCTTCATTTGTACCTGGACATCCAATTGGTGCCTACCTCACGGATCTTTGATCAGCGCAGGGCTTTACCATGCAGCGTGGAGCCAACGACACTAAATTGCTTTAGTATGCTCTAGTTACTTGCCTTTCGACCTTTGTTGTCTTTAAATTCTCTAAAGTTTCCTACCAACTTGCAACGTGTCATGCTGGGCTCAAATCCTTCAAGGCAGATCAGAACAGCGTGACAGGCAACCCCTATCAAGCTGTATCCATCCGTACCACATACGGTAAACGCCGTAAAGAGCTGTAAAATGTTTCCACGGGCATCCACATGGATCCTCTCCTCGCATCGCAAGCATTCAGCCCGACTCAGCCCGACTCAGCTCGACTCAGCCGGACCTTGCATTTTCGTTTCCAGGTGCCGGCTTGTGGATGAGATGCGAATGACAGTTGGGAAGCTCAGCCACAGACGGAATTGCAGCAAGCCGAGAACACAAAGAACATTGGCAAGATACGGTAACCGTATAATGCAAGCGATCCAAAGAATGTCGACCATTCTACAACGAAAATGAAGACAAAAGTACCAATTCGGATTGATGAGATGGCTGTGGAATGTTTCTCAGCTTTGCTTCAAAAACTTTTCAGTGCGGCTTCTGTGCTAGCTCGACCCATGCTCATCAGTTTTCAATCCACATTGCATTGTTGCGGGTCCTGGGCTGTCCTTGAGTCAGCCAATTATGATCAATGATGTTTTTCCAGTTGTATAAATTATCCAACAGTTGTTTCATTCTTCACTGTGCAACAAAGAGTTTGCGATGACAGGGATTTTGGGGTTGGACCGCTTTGCAACCCGTTTTGTGTTAGCAACCGCGACTGGCAATCGGCTCAAAATCTCGATGCCCATGGGACAAGTTCTCAGCATTTTCGTTAGACGTGTCGACATTCTCCGAAGATTCCAATGTGGGACACTGGCATCTTCTGGCATCTTCTGGCAATCGGATTACGTTTTACTTCGATTTTCGATTCATGTTTCATTCTAAGAAACGGGAAGCGAACAAAGGCAAGGCAAACGTGTTCAAAATGTTGTACCAGGGTGATTTCTCGCACGATGCACTGTGCCCACCACGCAAAATCAAACTCCACCTCTCTGAAAAGGGTTACACGAGAATGTATGATCCGAGTGTCTCCCAGGACTCACAAAAATAGATTTGAACAATCTTGAACATGTGCGACATATGTGTGAACCACTCCCTATGTGTTTGCACTATGTGCCTGACGAGTGACCGCAAATCCTTTGCAGTGCTGAGGTGGCCATGAAGGCAACGTATCTTTCGCTGGAGGTGAACAAGTGGCCTGGCACGGAGACATAGGTAGATAAATCGTAGATACAAAGTTTTGTCATTCATAAAGTGAAAGAAAATTAGGATAAATTAAGACGCCCCTGGCTCCACTTGCTTCGACTAATTCCGGCTGCTTCCGATCAATACCTTTCAATCATACGCCAGAGGCATTGCCCGCGCTTCAACTGGGTCCATGGCAAGGGTGCAGAGACGCCAGACTTTCGCTGAGTAACCGAAGAGCATATGTGCATCGATTTGCGAGGAAAAAATGAGCCACGCTGTTGCATGTGGACAGATACTAGATATGGCTGGATGATGCTGGATGCGCAGCATGTCATAGTGGCTTCATGTGGCTTCTTTATCTTCTTTGTGCTTTGGCTGCTTTGGCTTCATGCGCTGGAGTGGCTTGCATTGGCTCCCAAGTGTTTAGACTAGAGACAGCAAGGTGGACAAACTCTGCATCGCTGGTGTTGAAACTGCAGATGTGCATAGAACAAGCAGTGTTCAACATGTTCAATCCGATTCTAGACATGGAATGGGAAACAGATGAGAAAGGCAACGTGGCTCCAGGGAATTGGTTCTTTTGCGCTCTTCATTCAAACAAAGGCAAAGCACTAGTGATGCAAAGTCTTGACACAAGCAAAGGGTTCAGACTTCATCTTTTCACCTTCACAAACGCTTCACAAACGCTACCGCCAACCAAATTTGCTTGAGCTAGACTGTGGCAAAGCTCCACAGACCCCTGGTCATCCTGCAGAAAATGCAGGGCGTCATGATGGATGCCATTCAATGCCAGTCCCTAAGCAGTCTGAGCCGTCACTCCACTTGTACACTTGTAACATACTGTACCTATTTGTACCTGTTCTTTCTGGATGATACACCACACCTTGCAGGCCGAACGCTGGCTTTGAAAATAGGAAGATATTCTGAGAGAGTGTTGGCAGTGTTGGGTTTCAATCTCTGGAAAGGATGCGTTGGCTCGGATTTGTCGGAAAGAAAGTTTGGAGGATGGTTCAGTAATGGTTCAGTAACAGTTCGGACCATGTTCGGTCCTTCTGGGTGTTCTTACATTTGCAGCAGTTATTGGATGTTATTGGATGTTATTGGTAGGGTTGCGGCATGACTTCTGGCAGAGTTGCGTACTGATGGTAAATGCTTTGCCCCTTTTCTTAAATAGCCTGTCCCTGATGGTAAACGATTTCTCCCAATTATTGAAGGATTTGTCCCTGTTGGTAAATTGTTTGTCCCGCTGCTTAAACTGCTTGTCCCTGATGCTACAATCCATGTCCCTGTTGTTAAATGGTTGGTTGGCTGGTCGTTTGAGGGTCTTTTCCTGATGGTAAATATTGTGCCCCAATGTGAGTTCTGTCCTGATAGTAAAAGCCATGTTCCAGATATAAATGGCTTCTCCACGACGGCAAATGCTTTGTGTGATTGTTAACCGATCTATCCCCTGATGGTAAGTGCTGTGCCGTAGTTGTCAAAGGGCATGTCCTCACAGATAAATGCTTTGTCCCAGCTGCCAGTTCTCCAACGATTCATTGCAGAAACCCAAGAGCGCGAAGCGAAAAGTAAGTATAGTAAGAATTATGACTATGCTCGGTTGAGGTTCATGTGGATCATGCGGTCTTGCCTAGTTGATGCTGGTCTGTTTTTGGTAAAGATGTTGAAGGCTGGCCAGCAGGAAGCTGTTTGTGAATCTTCATGCCGTTGGGTTGCGGAGCAGTGCACACACTATCGTGCAATAAGCAGAATGCATCAAGGTTTGGAAGTTTGCTGATCCTCGGTGCCATCCCGCACCTGTCCTCAACACGGCCACGGCCATACAATGCACTCTGAGATCACTGTTTTTCAAGTTCCCGAGCAGACAGTGTCAAATGCTGCAAGTCCAGACCAGAATTCGCTTCAATGCTGGCATCTGCAAACATGGGCTTTCTTCTTTTGAACAAGTCCGAAGAGCTTGTATGAACTTGCAACATGCTTCAGAAAGCCACTTGCATAAACTTCATGCAGTCGCTATAAAGCGCAAATCAATTTTATTCAAACCTTGAGGGAAAAGAGGAGTAGAGAATGTTGAACATGTTGAACCGAGTTGAACCCGCTGAGGCCACACATGCTGAACCTTCTTGAAGCCTTCAGCGTCAAGGCGTGCCTGGCTATTTCGATCGAGAAACAAATTGGACAGTCACGGGACCGAGTGACCGAGTGGATGTTTTTCCACGATGCGGAGGCGCAAGAGCAGCAGTTGATCATTGAGCAGCAAGCACAGTCCCATGGTTTCGATTAGAAACAAGACGCATCGACGCATCGTTTTGTCATACTGGTTTCGGTGGTGCTTTTCCCCACACACTGTGTCCACACTGAGGGGTTCATACGGTAGTAGGAGCCTGGGGTTTCAGGATGCTCTGTGGGCTTCGGATTTTGTTGCACAAAAGTTCCCTTGTGATATGTCCAGCAGTGTGGGCCGATGTGGGCCGTGAGTCTCTTCCGAAGGTCTCGTTTCCTCCCGGCCTGGGCGGGGTGTGTCCCAGCGTCTCAGTGGCGGTGCCTTCCTTCGTGGTGTCTCAGTTGCGGGGCGTCTCGGGTGGTATTTGGGTGGTGCCTCGGTGGTGTCCTGGTGGTTTGGTGGTGTCTCAGTGGTGCCTTGGTGGTAGAGACAGAAAGATAGCTAGTGACTGCCAATGCTAGATGGAGAGACAGGCGACAGACAGACAGATAGAGATAGGGATAGAGATAGGGATAGTGCAGATAGAGATAGAGATAGAGATGGGGATGGAGATGGAGATGGAGAGAGACATTGAGAGATAGAGACATAGAGACATAGAGAGATAGAGAGATAGAGACATAAAGTGATAGAGACATAGAGAGATAGAGAGATAGAGGGGTAGAGACAGAGGGATAGAGAGATAGAGGGATAGAGGAAGAGAGGAAGAGAGTTTCAGAGCCTCACACACCTGTCCGTCCATCAGTGGGCTTGCTCTACCATCCATGCAACACAACAACTCACCCCTCTAGCTTTCCTATCTTCGAATCTTCCGCCACCGCCTTGCGCGGTGCTATGAAGATCACTAAAGTCTTGCAGAGGTCCTTGTCAGAAGATGTTGTGAAGATCCTGATGAAATCCTGTAAGAGGTCCTTGCATGATCTTGTACAGGTCCTGGTGAAATGCTCTAATCTCGTACAGTTCCTTGAGAAGATCTTGCGGACGTCCTTTTGAAATCATCTTCAAGAGGCTCTTGCATTAAGATCTTGAAGATGCTCTGATTGGTGCTTGTGTGAAAGTTTTCTGACATGCTCATAGGACCTAAGAAGCTTTTGTATGAAGATCTGCTACGGCGGTCCTCTACATACAGAAGGTCCTTCTCTGACGATCTTCTGAAATTCCCTTAAATGTTCTGGTACAAGTAGTACCCAGGCAAGCCGGGGGCGGAAGTTTTAAATTTGAAACGCTATAAGCTTATAGCCTATAGAGAGGAGCAAAGGCTGTGCCTATAGGTGACAGGCAAGCCTCCTGTGCATGGCAGCAACGAGCTCGTGACTTGCCAATCTGATGCCAGGTCTTTCAAATGTTGAATCTTTCTTCATAATTTCATCTGATCTCATCGCATCGCAGCTTCTATTGGAAATTGCTCAGTGCATCCCTCTGTCACCACAGTCTGTGTCATCCCATCTCTTCTCAGCTCAGCTCATGTCTTCTGAGTTTTTTCACCTCATCTCATCTCATCCCATCTCATGTCTTCTCTCCCTTTCTCAGCTCTTCTCAGCTGATCACAACTGTTCTCATCTCTTCCCATGCCACATGCCACCTGAGCTTTTCTCATCTCTTCTCATCTCATCTCAGCTTCTCTCAGCTTTTCAGATTTCACAGCTTTTCTCAACTCTTCTCAACTTTCCGCAGCTCATGTAAGCTCATCTTTTGTGTTCTCATCTCTTCTCTCCTCTCCTCACATCTTCTGAGCTTTTCTCACATCTACTCAGCTGATCTCAGCTCTTGTCAGCTCGTCAGCTCTTCTCAGCGCACTTTCAATCTCACTTTGTCTCTGGCCCAAAACCTGCTCCAAAAACGGATCTCGGCGCCAAAGCAAGCAAGCCCTACGCTTTCCACAGAGAAGATTTGACACAGAGAAGCTTTTACACACAGCAAGCTTTTGCACAGAGAAGCTTGTACACGCAGCAGCTTTCACACGCAGAAGCTTTTACACAGAGTTAGGGCAGCTTTTATTCACAGCAAGCTTTTACACAAAGCTTTTATTCACAGCAAGCTTTACACAAAGCTTTTGTACACAGCAAGCTTTTACCCAGAAAATCTTTTACACACAGAACCGTTTAGACAGAGAAGCCTTTACACAGAGAAGCTTCTACACACAGCAAGCTTTGACACAAAGAAGCTCCTACACAGAAAAACTTTTACACAAAGAAGCATTTACACAGCTTTTACACACAGAAGCCTTTACACAGCTTTTACACACAGCGAGCCTTCACGCAGAGAAGCTCCTACACAGGTCAGCTTTTACACAGAAAAACTTTTACACACAGAAAGCTTTTACACACAGAAGCTTGTACACAGAAGCCTTTACACAGCTTTTGCATACAGCAAGCCTCCACGCAGAGAAGCTTTTACACACAGAAAGCTTTTACACAGCGACGCTTTTACACGCAGCAAACTTTCACACAGAGAATCTCTGACACACAGAAGCTTTTACACACAGCAAACTTTTCCACGCAGAAGCTTTTACACACAGCAAGCTTTTAAACAGAGAAACCCTTCACAGAGAAGCATTTACACAGAGAAGCTTTTACACACAGAAGCTTTTACAAAGAGCTTTGCACACGGAAGCGTTTACACACAGCAAACTTTTTTACACAGAAGCTTTTAAACAGAGAAGCTTTTTTGCACAGAAACTTTTACACACAGCAAGCTTTCACACAGAGAAGCTGTTACACACAGAAAGCTTTTGCACAGGGCAAACTTTTACACAAAAAGCCCTCACACATTTTATTTCATTTCGTTTCATTTCATTTTCATTTAATTTCATTTCATTTCATTTTCATTTTCATTTTCATTTCATTTCATTTCATTTCATTTCTTTCATTTCATTCATTTCATTCATTTCATTCATTTCATTCATTTCATTCATTCCATTCATTTCATTCAGTTCATTCAGTTCATTTATTTCTTTCATTTCATTTCATTCATTTCATTTCATTCATTTTATTCATTTTATTCATTTCATTCATTTCATTCATTTCCTTCATTTCCTTCATTTCCTTCATTTCCTTCATTTCCTTCATTTCGTTCATTTCATTCGTTTCATTCGTTTCATTCGTTTCATTCATTTCT